GGACGGGGGGGGCGTCGATGCCTCCCGCCCCCCAGGAGGCTGGCTGGCTGGCTGGCTGGCTGGTGGCGGAAGGACTTCCAACGGCCAGCCTGCCCTTTACTATTTGTGCAAAGAAACATGGCAGCCCAGCACAACCGCCAACTGCCAACAACGGTTAAAACCGCTTGCCAATTAATTAGCCATCAACTAACTCACCAGGCAGCACCCGACCCGACAGGTCGAACAAGATCTGCCGCTGCGGCGCCGCCACGAAGGGCCCCGAGGGCCGCTGACCACCAGCGCCGCCCGCCGCCGTCGCTCCGCCGCCACAGAGCCATTTCGCCAGGTGTGTCGTACGCTGGGTCAGGGAGGGGGGCTGCAGATGTGCGGGCACGTACGACGCGATGTGATTGAAGGAAAGCACCACTTGCTGCGAGGGCTCCAGCGGGGCGAGCAGGTCGCCGTACGGCGACGGCGCCGTCGGGCCGCCGCCGCCGCCGGTGATGCTGCCGCTTGCAGTACGGGCTCCGCTGCCGACACGAACCAGCCGCTGCACCCAGCCGCCGCCGCCGCCGCCGCCGCTCACCCTCCCGCTGCTGCCCACGCCTGGTGTACGGCGCGCCGTCGGCTCCAGGACGCCGCTGACGCTGACGTCAGCGTTCGACGCTGCGTCAGCGGCGTCTGTGCTCCACCTGCGGTCTCCTAGCCCGGCGGCTCGGTCGCTGAAGTCTGCGGCTCGAGCCCCGCTGCGGTGTCGAAGGGCCTCCTGAGCTGGGCGGGGAAGAGCTGCACCCCGGGGGGGGGTGTCGCGGGAAAAGGCGGCGGGGGAATGGAGGGAGAGCGCAACTTTTCGCCATGAAAAAAAAACACAGAAGATCGACACGGTACGGCACAACTGCACTGCGCAGCTCTCCGCACTTTGTAACAAAGGACAGCTCCCAATACAACGGAATAGCTGCGTAGTCGTTTCGGTCAAATTTTTCGTGATGCCGTACACGCCGTATATATCGTACGTTCCGTACATTGATTGCGAGGAAAAATTAAGGCACGCGCAGCAGGGTGCTCTTCTTCGTTGGGGCGCCTGCCGCCGTTTCCTTCCTTTCCTTCCCTTTTTGAAGGTGGTGACTGAAGCACTCGGGCACTCGCAATCGTACCAAACGAGACTCGGCTGACCCGTAGAGTACCCCCGCCCGATACAAGCACTGCACTGCACTGCACTGCACTGCACTGCACTGCACTGCACTGCACTGCACTGCACTGCACTGCACTGCACTGCACTGCACTGCACTGCACTGCACTGCACTGCACTGCACTGCAGTGACCGAATTGGGGCCTCCAAACAAACCCTTGTGTGCACACACAGACAGGCACACAGACACACACATACACATACATACACACATACACACATGCACACATGCACACACACACATACACACATACACACACATGCACACACATGCACACACATGCACTACATATACACACACCAAAAAAAGAAAAACGTGCCTGGATCTGCAGTATCGCATGACAACATGGGGAAATCCGCCGCCGTAATGCCTTGCATTTCCCCGCTGTGCATCTTTACGGCGTCTTCCACCCGCCGCCGACGTAGCTCGTCCTCCCAGGCGTTGTACCACAACGGGTCTTCGACGGCATCGGCAAGAAGCGGCGACGCCGATCCGAAGGCGCCTTGCGCCGCCGCCGGCGCCTCCTGCTGCTGCCGCCGCAACTGAGACACGTCGTACGACAGTCGTACCGGACGCGTCGCCGAGGGGGTCGCTATGGTCCGTCGGGGCTCATCGCTGCCGCGGCGGACCAGCGGCTCTGAAGCATGGTGGTAAGCATGTCCAAGCACAGCCGGTAGGGGGCCCGGCGGCGGCTGCTGCTGCGGCTGCTGCGGCGGCAGAGGTGCATATTGCTGGAACGGACTGATCTGCGGCTGCGATGGTCGGGGCGGCTCTGCAAGGCTGGGTCGGCTAGTCGGCTGCATTTCACGAACTCGCTAAGTAAATCCCTCTACGCCAGATCAGAACTACAATCTGCTACTTGCCAACCCAAATTTAATACATAGATATTACTAGTATATTTCACCGATGTTTCAGCGGACAGGGACGCGCGCGTGCGTGCGCCGCACTTCAAAGTACAGGAGGTTGCGCGTGCAAGCTATAGGTGTGGCATAAAACTGCGGAAAAAAAAAGACCCGTGGGTCGTTGCTCGGATGCCGCTGCTGTTGTCCTCGACGACAAAAGCGACGTTGCGCGACGCGATACGTTTGGTAGGCACGTACACACAGAGCTGTTTGAGCCTTTCGACGGCGTAGCAACGTTGCTGTGGCCTTGTGAGCTGCTTGTTTGTTTTCTCTCGGGTTGGCAAAAAAGGAGGTTGTTTGAATTTGCACCCTAGCCAAGAACTTTAGTACTTTTAAACTTATTAGAGAATAACGTTAAGAGAGAAGTGTGTTTAAAAAGTTTGTGATTAAAACCACAAACCTAACAAGCATTGCTTCAAAAGGCCTGGGAAGGAAATTGGCTTCATTCCACTATGATTAGCCTCTCGTTGGTCAAACGTAATAACCCCCTCGTAAAGCAGCACTTGTTACGCAGTCATGGGACCGATTACGTGGAGTATCCAAAGACGCTAAAAGAACCAGAGTACAAAGCCCATAGAATGTTTTGGTGCGGCGCATAATAATGTTATATGTTTGGTTGTGCTCCACTGTAACAGCTATATCTCTATCATAAACAAAGCCGCGGCTCTAATTTTCGCGCGGCCTCCTGCGCGCGTCCTCCTCTTCACTAGGATCGGGTAGGTGTTGGGAGCTACCTAACCTAGCAGCCGCCGCACCCGAACCTCAACACCGTACAACAGCTCTCTTCCCAAAGAGCCGCCAGAACTCCCAGCGGGCTCGCGTGGACACAGCTAAAGATCTGCCAGGCTGTGCAGCGGCCGGACTGCCTGCGGCCCCCTGCCTGCGCCATGCCCCCGTACCATGGCGCCCGCCTGCGCCTCCCCGCTCTGTTCGTTAGACAGGCAGGCAGGTAGGCAGGTAGGCAGGTAGGTAGGTAGGCAGGTAGGCAGGTAGGCAGGTAGGTAGGTAGGCAGGTAGGCAGGTAGGCAGGTAGGCAGGTAGGCAGGCAGGTAGGTAGGCAGGTAGGCAGGTAGGCAGGTAGGCAGGTAGGCAGGTAGGCAGGTAGGCAGGTAGGCAGGTAGGCAGGCAGGCAGGTAGGCAGGTAGGCAGGTAGGCAGGTAGGCAGGTAGGCAGGTAGGCAGGCAGGCAGGTAGGCAGGTAGGCAGGTAGGCAGGTAGGCAGGTAGGCAGGTAGGCAGGTAGGCAGGCAGGCAGGTAGGCAGGTAGGCAGGTAGGCAGGCAGTCGGGTAGGGGGTATTTGTAATGCAGCTAATGCAGCTTCAGTCCTATTTAGACGTGTAGATCTGACCTGCAAAAGACACGGCAACCTCGGCAAAGGGGCGCGTCTTGAGAACTGTACGGCATGCGGACGTGTATGATGAGAGTTCATTACAGATGATGAGAGTTCATTACAGAGCCCTTGGCAGCAGCAGCAGCGGCAGCAGCAGCAGCGCCAGTAGTAGCAGCAACTCAGGCTGGCTGTAGCAGCGGCAGCAGAAACGGTGTGTGGAGATGATGCAGAGCTGGAGGGGGAAAAGGAGCCGCCCAGATGCGGCTCTGAGCGCGCGGGGCGGGTTTCACGGCGGGCCGCAGCCGCTGCCGCTACAGCCGCAGCAGCTGTTGCCGTTGCTGCTATCATCAGTCCAGGTACTGGGACGCGACCACTTCCTCCAACCCGCTCTCTCTCCAACCCCTCCTCGCCTAGCCTAGCCGTACAGCACACCAACAAAAATGGGGGGCCCAACCGGCGGAGCACATACGTGCATACATACGTACATACATACGTACATACATACATACATACGTGCATACGTACATACGTACATACATACATACATACATACATACATACATACATACATACATACATACATACATACATACATACATACATACATACATACATACATACATACATACATACATACATACATACATACATACATACATACATACATACATACATACATACATACATACATACATACATACATACACAGCCCTCCCGGGCAGCTGGCTCGCAAAGTATCATGCATGTGTATTTCCCGCCTTCTCCTCCCGCCCCTTCTCCATCCCACCCCCCCTACTTTCCTCTCCTCTCCACTCGGCTTTCTTCCCAAACCCCCTCCTCAACCGCACCCAGGGCCGTCGCCAGGCACCACGAATACCACGTGCTCGCAATCGTCACATCATACACAGATCGATATCACCACCCTCAGCACACACACCCCAACCACCACCACCACCACCACCACCACCACCCATCCACGGTGGCTTTCGTCTTCTTTCCTTCCTCACCGGCTTTACCCCTTCCCCCCAGGGGCACGTGGGGCGGGGGAGAAGGGGGGAAAGGACTTCAGACCGGGGGGAAGACGTGTCGTGATCGGCGCCAACCCCAACCCCCACATCAGAAACCCCACCCCACCCCACCCCACCACCCCGGGGGGGGTGGGCCGAAATCGTCACCTCGACACGCATAGTCGTCATCATCATCACCATCATTACCTTCACCACCACCACCACCATCACCATCAAGACGGTCACCACCACCGTCAGAACCCCCAAGTGCCCTTCCGAACTTCTTTCTTAAGACACATCTTCATTCTCATCGATATTCTCTCTTCAGACAGGTAGTCACTGCGGCCGCACCACCACGCCATCACCACAACCCCAGGGTTGGCAAACACAGCACACTACCGGCGGTACATCCCCCCACCCAAAAGACCCAACACGTGCCACAAGCATGACATACATACACACACACACGCGCGCGCGCGCACCGACGAAACCCCCCTCAAAAGCGGCCACAGCAAAGCATGGAGGGATCCCTCAGCTCGCCCACACGACCACCTGCACCCGTTTTCCACGTACCTCGCAACATGCAGCTTGGCGCAACTGTACATACATACGTTCACACATAGCCTGAGAAAGGGACTTTTCGATTCTGCTTGAGGAACCAACCGCCGGCCCAACACCATAGTGGACACTCCCCAACACCATAGTTCTTACTAGGATTGTTACTAGGAACTGCCGTACAAACGATACACCCACAGGCCCGCGAGGCGACATATACACACACGCATACACCCACACTCACCCAGACACATATACATACGGCCACGCTTTTCCCACAGGTGTGTGTGTATGTATGTAAGTCTGTATGTAAGTCAGTCTGAGTAAAAACATGGCGCGTCGTTATCAAGCTTAGACCACACCACGCCCTCCTTCGCCCCCTCTCCGACCTCGCAGAGCAGCGTGTTGCCAAAAAACGGAGGTCATCGAGGCCTCCGAAACCCTCCGAAACCACCACCACAAACTGCCCCACCATGCAAAAATGCAGCTTAGATGAATAATAGCGTCTCCGAATGTGCATGCATGATGGATGCAAACACACACGCTAGGGGGAGGAGGATATAGTTTGATTGGGTAATTGGGTATTTAGACGACGGAACGAAACACAACACACGCACACACATACACACACACACACGCACGAGCTTCCCCCTCCCCAGTGCTCTGTGTTTGGAATCCCGAGTGGAGGTGGAGGGCAGGCACCGGGGTTGCAGGCGGGGCCCGACATTACCACCACAACCACAACCACAACCACCATCGCCACCATTATCTTCACCATGCACATCCTAATCCCATTAATCAAACAGAACCAGCACCCCCTAAGCTACCCCCGGGGCAGGGTGTGAAGGAGTTCGCGTGGAACTCATCACCCTCCCCTTTTCAAGCCTTTCCCCCACCAAAAACACCCACATACATGCGTACATACATACACATAAACAAGTGCGGGTATCCTTTGCGGATGGTGGCGGCATTCGCTGCAAATCGCACAGAGCTCCTCCCCATTCCTCATCTTGGTCTTCCTCCTGCGGCGGCTATATTTTACATCCACCTCTTCCTCGCCACCCACCCGTAAAATGAATACATCCGCGCGCCCTCGGGGAAATACACACCAAGAGACACCCGACACCCGGGACGTGCACGCGTACGTACAGACGTACATACAGAACTGAGGACTCCCGCGAGCGCACTCGACTCGCCGTCCGTTTAAACCCTAATCTTCCCCTCCTCCTGCCCTCTCACCACGCCTACATATCAAGGAAGGGCTGGGGCCTCTGGCGCCTCCCTATCTGACCAATTCATCACATGCGGCGGAGACCGCACGCGAAGTCACCACATACATACATACTGGTGGTGAGTTGCCGAACCCAACGAATACATTCTGAAGTCGGATGGGGTGACGGATTAGGGTGCCCCTCTAGCAGGGGAGAGCAGGGACTGCCCCCGGGAAAGGGGGCCGCTGGTGAAGCTATGCCACCCTGTAACAACATACATACATACACACACACACAAACAGATATTCGCACACCCACTTCGGCTTGTTCTCATATCGCGGCTCAGATAAATCAAAGGCACACACACACTCTCACCCTGACCCTCACACTTTATCGGAAGATGTGGGTTCGGATCCCACCGCTGGTCCCCCGCCCCCGGGTGAAATAGATCGAGGTGTCGAAGGCTGATGAGATGAGACACTGGGTTTTCCTCCAGTGCGCTGAGCGGGTGCGGGGGAGCTCTCACCAATCAAAAGACCTATTCACGGCCGCGATGCAATGGCGGACGATTAGTTCGGCGGCATAGGGCCTGGACCAGAGGCTGTATTCCAGATGGTGGTGGTTGGATAACGAAACCGGGCGGCGGGGGCAGAATTCGCAAGGATAGGGTGGCGCTATTGGCGCACCGGTGGTGTGAGTGCATTGGTAGATCATCGCGCAGCTGTAGAGCATGTGCTCGGTGGAACGGAGGGGTTGCTTGGCATCTGAGCTGGTGTGTATGTAGCTGGCTACAGGATTCGAACAGGTGACGGCGCCTTGTTGTTGTTGAAGGGAGAACGGTTATAGGACTCTGACCGATACAACGCCCCTCCAATGACGGAGTGCTTCGGCGGTCGTTCCCGTTGGGGAATACGGTTAGGTGCCCCTGGCCAGCGTCAGACCCGGATCGATGTGTGACAAGTACACAGCTATATGCACACACATACACACACATACACACAAACAGACAGACATCCACAAAGACGCGCACAGGAACCGCAAAAAAGGAATAAGCGCGCGACGGCCCGCGCTCTAACACAGCCCACAAACACACTCTTAAGACAACAATTGACGTAACAAAGATAAAAACCACGTCCATCAGCAAAAGTGGATCCTTCAAGGCTTCGATTCCTGGTTCCGGAGCCAGAGCCATGGGATGAGATAACGATAACGACAACACCTCGCAACTCAAAATTCGTACAGCATGCGTTGCGGGGGGTGGTGATGGTGGCCATGGTGATGTGTGCAGACTTAGTCTCGCCAAAAAAAGTCAGGTACGCAGTCACCGCCCACCCGTACACCTACTGGTAAAGCGCGAGATCCCGCCACGGCCCCTCGGTGCCGATGGGGACTCCAAAAGCGCACGCGCACGCACGCGTCTGTGTTTGTGTGTGAGAGTACGTTCAGGCGTTTGTGCATAATCTGTATGTGTATGAATGTGTATGTGTATGTGTGTGTTTTCACGTGTTTATAATTTATCGTCGTTTATCCTGTGCCTTGTGGAAATTTGAAAATCATGTCGTACACCCCGAGGATCACTTCTCATCATCACCTTACCGCCACCTCCGGAGGCAACGTACCCATAGGACTAGGTTACGCAGCCAGTACACGACGTAGATGACATGAGCCGTACGATCGCCTCCCTGCCGCATGCAGTACGGCAGGGTTATGACAAAAATGTACGACCCACCATCGTTTGCCCCTTCCACTCACCGGCAGTGGCAGCGAGTGTGCACGAGCCGGGGAAATCATTTGCCCTCCTGCGCACGCATCAAAACCCTAAGCCAACCAGGCACACGCAAAAACGTCTGCACACAAGACGTACACACATAGAAACATACATACATACATACTTGTATGGATTCACATCGGTCTCTCTCCGCCATCGCCCGGTTAGATCCTTCCCCCCCTGAGCCTCTCGCTCCCCCTCTTTAGTTTCCCACATACTGTTGGTCGTATACATCTACATAATACATACGTACATAGAGGCGGAGAGCTCCTCGGGTCTCATTCCTTTCCTTTCGACTTCTTGGGGGCCTCTACCCGACCCTTACACATACAAATACACACACGCACACGCACCGCCACCTGCTTGCTGTCCACTGCGTCGCCTCTCCGTCCCTTCCCCCTACCCCTCCCTCCCCCCTCCTTCCTCCCCTCCATAGCAGACGCGCGCACACCCCTCCCCCCCATCCTGTCCATCTCTCCCCTCTCCTCCCCCCCCTGGTAAGCAGTCGACACGCAACACAACACTGCAGCCCTCACCCTCACCTCCAATCACCAGATCACCCTCGCTGGCGCAAACTGCCGTACATTGACAATACAACTTTGCGGCGACCACCACCACCACTAGCATCGCAACAACAGTAAAACAGCAACAGTAAAACAGCAGCAGCAGTAGCAGTAGCAACAGCAGTAGCAACAGCAGTAGCAGCAGTAAAGCTCGCCCGGGCAACCGGACCCCTGACCACCGCATCGCCGCCTCTTTCTCAGAGGGGCGCCAATCACCGGTACGTATTGTACAACTGTTGGCCTTAGTGCTGCCGGGGGCCCTTACCTTCCCCCCCTCCCCTTTTCCCCCCTCCCCCTCCATCTCTGCCGCCGCTGCCATTACGCGAAGCCTCCGGGTCGGCTCCAGTACATGATGTCCAGTTTGGAGACGCAGCCGCTGTTGACCACCTCCTCCAACATGTCCACCACCGCTGTGAAGTTGGGGCGTAGGTGCGGGTCCTGGGGGTGCCGCGGCAGGCGGGTGCGAGGGCGCGTGTGAGTGAGTGCGTGTGTATGTGTTTTGAGAACAGCGGGATGTGGGTGAGGTGGGCGGGATGTGACGGGAG